GCCTACTAGAAGCAAGAAGCTACTAGTTTGTGTCATCCTGGCCAGAGGGACCTTCCGAGTACACAAGACTTCGCTACAAAACAAAGAATAATTCCGGATGGATTGCAAGTGTTGATTCATGCAACAACTGATTTTTCTGCTGAGCCACTTTCCTGAGAGCGTGAATTTGCCCAGAATCCAAGTTGGTGCATGATAGCACTTGACACTTAGTTGGACTTCCAAGGGTGGCTATCATTTCTTTGTGCAAACAGAGTGAACACGACAGCATACAACATACATTTTGGAGCATTCCAAGACAGACTCCCCAATTTGAAGTTTTGGAACCAGGCCAGGAGCGCAAGAACTTGTAGAATTGCTCAGAATTTTAGTGCTCATGGCGAGCGAAGAAGATCCGAAAGAAGGGGCGCCAGTGACGCACTTTCTTTCGCAGTTGGATGACCCTTTGCTTAACAGGCAAAATGTTGCACAGCCGAATTCATGCCACTGGAGCCTTTGCGTGGCAGCAAATGCATTGGACTATATGGGTCGTGACATATGTTAAACAGGTACATCAACTGCTACGATTTGGAATTTGGCAGCCGTAAACCGTGATCAAAGGTTAAATCAGCACAAATGAAAAGCAATGAAAAGCATTATATTGTTTTTGCACTTGCCAATGTTTCTGCAGTCAACACTGAGGTTTAAAGGTAGCAAACGTGAATCAAACAAACCATGCACGCGAGGGTGACAGGAGAAACCAGTGCTTAAAGCACGACACATTATTATGCGGAAATCGTTGTATTTACGAGAAAAATGTAGGATTTCCTACCTGCAACCGTTCTGTCTCAATGTATCGGAGGCAGCATAATCCCTCCTGACCGCAGTAAATTCGAGTTGAGGAGAATCAAAAACATGCGCTTGTTGGTCAAGCGCTCCAAGCAGAAAGCAGCCAACGTTGGGAAGAACTTCTCGAGTCCATTGCGTCAAAGAGAGCTGCGGAGCGAATCATAAGCTTTGTGGAGATGTCCGGACGAGAGACTCAATTAAAACTCAATCCCTTTGAGAGGCACGGGGTCTCAAGAGTTTGTCAAGAATGTGGAGTTACAGACTTCAAACAACAATATTAGCAATGGACTCCACTAAAACAATACTTTCTTGAAGTTCTTCTCTGGCAGGATGGAAACAATTCATCACCGCTTATGTGCTGTACTTCCTCCAGCGAGCCCGGGCATGTTGCGGATGATCAAATTCCTTCACGGGAGCACACCGATTGCGGAGAAAGCCATCGTCGCGATGTTACCAGAGCAGGTCGCCATCATTTGCACTGAAGAGCCCGAGTCAGATGACGAGACTGAAGACGAGTCTCTAAGCCTCGACCTCTTTGGCTGAAGTCGCAATCGGGGAAAAAGGCAAAAGAGAATTAGTTCGAGTCCGCATAGGGATCGTGTTGAAGCAAAGCTGATGCCAACGTGTTTACAAAGAAAATGGTAAGAAAAGCTTTAAAGGTCCGAAGAAAGAACAATACTGGAAACGGCTTCAGATGTAAATCGATGCGGAGCGAGCTAAGAGTCATGGCCAAGCGGGGAGAACGTGGGGGTGTCCTGTTGGAAATAGCCGCAGCAAGTGAGAGTCTTTTGCCAAGAAAGCTGTTGAGATGGAACGTCGTTTTCTGCATCGGGCTTCTCAGATGGCGGGTGGTCGTGGTGGTTGTGGTGGCTGTATGTAGTGTAGTGAAGCGTGGTCAGGGCGTTTCCGCGAGAGATTCTCGCAAAGGGAGTGCAGTGGATCTGAATTTTTGGCGTGTTTTCCTTTCCGATGGACACTGCTTTGCTTTCCTTATCCAGAACGCAGGTGAACCTTTGATTGCGCCGTCCTGCTTTGAAGCGCTCAGCTTGGGTACACACGCCAAGGCCTTAGGCCGTTTTGACGGTGGCCGTGCAAAGACTCGATGCCGAAGACTCGAACCCAAGACCCAGACCAGGAGCCCCTAGTTGCTTCTTGCTCCTAGTAGTAAGGCCAGGAACCCCGAACGTAGCGTCCGATCGCTCCTAGTAGCCATGCCAGGAGCCCCTAGTAGCTTTAGTGTGTTTGTTCATTATTTTTATGTGTTTGTTCTTCTATTACACCTTCAGACCTTTCTTTTCTCGTTTTGGTCTTGAAGAAAGGGCTGCTCTGAGAAATGGTTCTCAAATTTGAGCAGACAGCGAGGTCGTACAGCCACACTTTCCTGAGCATCGCACTTTGTGGCAAGCTCAGCGACAAGGCTAGTGACAAGTGATTGTATGTTTTTGTGCATTTTCCATTTTCTTGCAACTCTTAAATACCTTAGTTTTTAGTCATCGTCTTTAAGCCCATGGGGAGAACGTTACTTGCTTCATATCTGCGGGCAAGAATCGATGTCTGAAGGAAGGCCTTGTGGCCGAAAACGAATCGGGTGCCCCAAGACTGAGGAAGAACAAGCCAACAACAGAGAATTGGACATCGCAGCATCCTTTTCTTGAACAGGCATGCTGTGAGATTCATACTGTTCAAATGGATGTTCAGAAGCATGCGAGTGTTCTCAGCGTGGATGCAACGGGACCGTTCACTATCAGAAATGCTTAAGTGCTCGCTGCTTCTTCGTTACACCATAGAGGTTCAAGAATTCAATTATATGTTATATGTTATTATGCTTTATCAGTTATGTTCAATTCCCCCCGTCGTGCGCTCGCATGGTTTTGAGTCTGATGTCCCCTTCACGTATATAGATGTGATTGCTTAGAGTAGCCAAGAGTCAAGAGGAGATGGTTTGTCAAGTCAGCGGTGGAAATGTACATACATGTACCTCTTCATGAGCAGGGACCAAAAATTAACTACCACTTGACCAGTGGTGAAATCCTACCACCTTACCAGCGAATGGTTTATAAGAGTTGTAGGAGTCCTCAAAAATCCCCAGATGATGTGAAATGCCCAACCCAACCGGACCTGACCTGTTTCGCCAATGGGCATTGACAAATGATCCTTGAGCAGTGAAGAACAGCGCGACTTGCGTGGAGCGAAAGCAGGTGCCCGAGCCTTTTGCCTTCACCGTGAACCCTTTGGATCTTGAGGCACAGTCCAAGGAGGACCTATTTGCAGATTGCAAGGAGCGATTGGACGCTACTAGTAGCTCCTGGCCTTACTACTAGGAACAAAGGGCATCGCTACTAGGAGCAAGGACTGTTGCCTTCGCACAAAAGAATGCCATTTGTTTGAAGACCTCCCCTTCTCAGACTCAGCCCACGTCATCAATCCCCCAAAAGGCCTTGACATCTACTTTTCGATCTTTGCGAAGGGCATTTGATTCCATTTACGGTGTGAATCAGGCCTGAGCACTTTGGAATCAGCAGCGACAAAAACAAGTTGCAATTTTGAATCTACACTAGGCTGTTCCCAAAGCAGAGGCCAGCGAGGTGGTGCGGCTGTTCCACTTCAAGATTTTTCTTTCCATTTTATTGTATTTTGTGATGCATTGAATGCATTGAAGAGGTTTCTGTGGATTCTGTTTGCTTATTTGCTGGTGATGCAACACCTGCAGGTCTCAGCCTTGCGCGCTTTTTATGCATTTGGAGAGTATCCCGGCAGGTCTGCAGAGAAGGGGTCACAAGTTGTGTCGCAAGTGCCTTCAGGGTGTTTTGATGGTGGAATACAAGTGCCTTACTAGTAGAAATAAGTGCCACGCTAGTAGGAACAAGTGCCACGCTAGTAGAAACAAGTGCCACGCTAGTAGTAACAAGTGCCTTACTAGTAGTAACAAAGAAGCTAGTGTAACAAGAAATGGAATGGTGATGTCTTGCCACGGCAGGGATGAGTTCTCCACTCGTGGCTTCCTGAAGCGCGTGGCTGGAACAGTCGAGGGTACAAGGATGGATCATTGTGTTGTGCATTGTGAAGAGACACCAAAGTCCGCCTCCAACCTAATAGCTTTTGACGGATGCTGATAGAGGTTCTAAAGAATCCAAGTTAATATGTTCCTAGTAGCTTCTTGTTCCGTTCGTAGCGTCCGATCGCTCCTAGTAAGGCCAGGAGCCCCGAACGTAGCGTCCTGTTGTTGATAGTTCATGTCCGTTCCTTTGACTCCTCTGAGCCTGAAACACGAGCGCTCTCCTTCCCTGGAGGTCTGTATAAGAATTCTACTGCTGGTGCGAATGTGTTTAAAGGGCCTAGGTCCAGGTCTTGAATTTCCACGAATGCCTTTTCTTGGAATCCTTGAGGCCTAAGATCTAGAATACTTGCCCTATTTTACCCTATACCGATTTGCTGGGTCATTCGGAGGACGCTGGAGGCTGCTGATTGGGACTGGGAGCGCCAACGACATCCGATGCAGGGGCCCCTGAGCCAGCCTTGTCCACTATACATAAAGGCCGCTTTGCCCCCCTACCTAGAAGTAATGACCTCCAACCTAAGAGCGATGGGCTCCTGAGTTGTTTCACAAAGTGTGCAGATGTTTTTGGATGCATCAAAACGATCGTCCAAGACTTTTGGAGTTTTGTGATGGGGTTTGGGGTCCCAGAGTTGCGCTTTTCGACAGGCAACTGCCCTCACGAGCCCTGGGTCAGTTAAGAACACCTGAAGGCGCTTTGAATGTGCCAAGCTGCTGTGTAATATGAATGGCCATCGCACGAGAGTTCACACACTTGAAGAATGGCCATCGCATGCAGCAACTGTCCAAAGATTTGTGTTTAAAGCAGGGGGATGGTGCGCAAGGGGCGAGCAAGCCATTGAAGGATGCATTCATTCGAGTTTATGTTTAGACTATGATTGGCGATCTGGTGGACCGGCATGGCTCTTGTGGAGGCTTAGTAGCGAAGACGTTCAGCGAAGGTCACCATGAAAGGGCAAAGATTGCACTTCCAGGATATTCAGTAGGATCCCGGGTGTTGGTTGCCATATTGTGATAGGCGTTCACAAATATAAGAAGAGAGATGCAAAGAGCACCCGAAGGGGCACATGGACAGAGTACCGGAACACACAGAGTCCCAAACCCATTCATGAGAGCTGATATGGCCGTATCGCTTGCTTGGTGGGTGCTCTTTGCCACATGTTTCGGCACTGAGAGCAGCCCATTGCTCTTGCAAAAGAAGATCCATTTAGCAGATACTCCCAAGCCCAAACGGAGCCTGGAAGAGCAACTGGAAGTGCTCGAAGTCACTGACCTCCATGACCTGGCTGGAAAATCCGTGTATTTGGTCATGATTGATCGCTTCTCGCGTGAGGGTGGTCATAGCAGTGAGCACCTGGAAGCCTGTGAAGGAGGCCAATGGTGTAACGGAACTTTGAAAGGCATCACTTCGCACTTAGACTACATCAGTGCCATGGGTTTCGATTGTATTTGGGTTACACCTGTGGTGAAGAACTTCTATGGACCTGATCTAGGTGAGAGTGGTTATGGCTATCATGGTTATTGGGCAGAGGACTTTTATTCGATCGATCCTAATTTCGGCACAAAAGACGACTTGAAGGAGCTGGTACAGCAAACACACCGGCATGGGATCCTCGTCGAATTCTTTTGGCAACATGTTTTGCTCAATTTGCAAACGTGTTTGACATGATTGACATTTTGTGTGGGTAATGAATGGGGGCCCCAAGCCAAAATCACTTTTGCTGATCTTGTCAAAGTCCACGTGTTCGGTCCTGTTCGTCTGGTTTTGCAAGACTCGCAAAGGATGTGCTTCATCCTTGACATCGTCTTGAACCACATCCGTCCAGTACATTCCCTCAGCGACCTATCAAAGGTGAAACCCTTCAACGACACCCGCTATTTGCACTTGCTCAATATGTCGGGCATGAGCTTTGACAAGTACCTTGATCCATCTTGATCCTGACTTCAAACAGAAAAATCCTCATCAACTTTTGTTTGTTAACATATGTTCGCTATTAGGAACAAGTGCATCGCTACTAGTAACAAGTGCCTTACTACTAGTA